AGATTTTGTTCCAGCCTTTAACATTGAAAATGTGTTTGTTTTTACGGGCAAGATGTGACTCCTGCAGGCAGCAGATAGAAGGGTCTTGTTTTTTAATCCAACTAGACAGTCTATGTCGCTTAATTGGAGAGTTCAGTCCGTTAACGTTAAGAGATAGGACTGAGAGGTATTTGGGAGTTCCTGCCATGTTATCCACCTTCTTGGGGGCTGCGAAAACTGGGTTCTTCCTATGGTTCTTGGATTCTCCGTTTGGGTGCAGTTTCTTGGCCTTTGTTGGTTTTCTATGTGTAGGACATCTTTAAGAATCTTTTGTAGGGCTGGTTTGGTGGAGATGTGTTGTTTCAATTTTTCTTTGCTATGGAAGGTTTTTATTTGGCCTTCAGTTATGAAGGAGAGTTTAGCTGGGTACAGTATTCTTGGTTGATAGTTGTTTGTTTTTAGGGCATGGCATACATCATTCCAGGCTCTTCTTGCTTTGATTGTCTCTGCTGAGAAATCTGAGGTGATTCTAATTGGTTTCCCTTTATAGGTGATTACCCTTTTCTCCTTGACAGCTTTAAGGATCTTTTCCTTGTTCTGAGTTGATCCTGTGTGGATTATAATGTGACGGTGGGATGTCCTATTCTGGTCTGGTCTATTTGGGGTTCTAAAAGCTTCTTGTATCTGAATAGGCCTATCTTTTTGTATGTTTGGGAAGTTCTCTGCTAGGATCCTGTTAAACAAATTTCCTAGACCATTAACTTCTGTTTCTAGGTGCTCCTCTACACCCATTATCCTTAGATTAGGCCTTCTGATGGTGTCTTCCAGGTGTTGGATAGATCTATCATACTTCTTGGACTTGTCTTGGATGGTTGTATGTTCTTTCTCTATAATATCTAGGCTGTCTTCAATCCCTGAGATTCGATCTTCTGCATGGTCTAACCTGCTGTCAAGACTCTCTACTTTGTTTTTTATCTCTTTTCCTTCTAATTGGTCAGCTTTGATGGCTTCAAGTTCTTTGTTGAAGCTCTGTTTTAGGTCTTGTATGAATTTCTTTACTTCCTTAATTTGGTGTTCAGTGTTTGTTCTCAAATCACTTAGTTGATTGGTTATGGTTTCTTTGGACTCCCATTCCTTCTGTTGGGTTCCATTCAGCATTTCCTTTGTGGTCTCCCTGACTTCCTTCAGCTCTTTGTTAATGGATTCCATGAATGCCTTTAGTGATCTTTGTGTGTTCTCTACCTGGTCTCTCAATTCCTGAATTACTCTTTGATTAGCTTCCTCCGGTTTGTGGGATTCCTGCAGTTCTCTTTCCTCCCGTTCGTGGGATTCCTGCAGTTCTCTTTGAGTGTTCTCAGCCTGCTCACGTCATTCCTCCCTTTCTCTTTGAGTATTCTCAAGTTGTTCACGCAAATCCTGTATCAGTTTTTGAGTAGCTTCCTCACGCTTATGATATTCCTGTATAAACTTTTGGGATGCCTCCTCTCTCTCCCTATCACGCTCATACAGAGTCCTTTGTAAGTTGTCAAACTTCTCATTTATCATGTTTGCCACCAGTGTTTGTAGAGCTATTTGGGAACTCTCCTCTGGATTGTTCATTATCTGATCTGACCCCTGATTATCAAGATTGGGAATTGAGATACCCGGATTTGCCATTTTTCTTGTGTTTTTCCGGCTTACTCTGTCCATTTGAGATGAAAATAGCACCAGTTTTGTGCTAGAACACTATCTTAAGGCAACCATCAACCAACGTTTGCATTTATATAGTCAATAGTCTACAGATACAATCTAGTTCAACAGATACATCTATTCAACATCAAACAACTATATGTTAATGGGCTTTGAACCGCAGAGAAGAATTTGGAAAACCAGAAATTTTTAGGGTTAGGGAGAGATGTGGGTAAAAATTAGGAATAGATTGGTGTGGGGAGGCACAGGGAGAGTTAACTATGTCCTAATCTCAATGCAGGAAATAGGTTGGGTAGGATGCAAGTAGAAAGGGAGAGAAAAAGAAGAAAGGGAAAGGGAAATGAAAAGAGACCAGAAAAAAAAATAGAAACGTAAAAATTAATATAGTTATGGAGATTGAAAGACCATCTATTTAGAGAGGAATGTGAATATAATGAGAAAACAGGAGGGAGATAGAGGAGATGTGAAAAACTTAAAAAATGCTTAAAATATTATATAGGTATAAAGAGGTAGTACTGCTATTAAGGAATTTAAGTCTCAGAGGTTTTGGATTGAGTAATAAATTTGTGGATTAAGTGTGTACACAATAGGGGATAGGGTCTACTAGTTAACTATGGGTGTTAACTGAGGATGTGCAGGACAAGAGTTAAGTCACATACAGAAGAACAAAAGAAAGGAAAAGGTGAAAAGGATAAGAAAGGGAGAAAAAAAAAGATCAGAAGTTCAGTAGAGCTAGACAAAAACAAAAAGATAATTAAGAAAGAAAGAAAAAGAGAGAGAAGACAAGAAAAGAAAGGAAAACGTACATTCACGTATCCCTAAAATAAAATAAAAATTATAAGAAGGAAAAAAAAGTTACTGGAAAACAATTATTTTTTCAAAAAAGGCAAAAATTAAAGATTAATAAAAGTTTTAGAAAAGGAAAAAAATTTTTTTTATATATATAAGGTACCAAAAAAAAAAAAAAGAAAAAGAAAAAAGAAAAGAAGAAAAAAAAGTTCTTTGATTTTTTTTTTTTGATTTTTTTGGGAGGGGTGGGAAGAATCCTGTATCTCCCTTTTGTCTGTAACCAGCCTCTTGTTGGAGTCTCTGGTCAGCTTGAGGTCCTGTGGCTTGATTGGTTTCTTAAGTCAGTTTGTTCGAACAGGCAGAAAAATGCTCTGCTTTACCCAAGATTTTGAGATCCCCCTCCCAGGTTAGTTTACTGGGAGGGTGATCTGCTTTGAGAATCACAAAAGAGGGGTGATGAGGCTAGGTTCTGGTAGAGTTGAGGCCTTTCAACAAACAGTAGCTTTTCCCTGGGGCTATTTTGTGAAAAATTCACAGAGCCCAGCCTGGAGCCATTCTCAGGGTTTCTGTTTTTCAATTGATTGTGGAGGCTGCTAGAGGGAGGGGCAGCCTCTGGCTCTGGTTACCTGGTGAGGAAAGCCACTCCTATGGCTGGCGCCCGAGCTGGGTGACTTTTCCCTGGATGGAGCTGAGTCTGGCAGGTCACTTCGCCGTTAAGTTCTTGTGACCTGTTAAATGACTCGTTTTATTCCAAGGCCTGAGTTGGAGCTAGCAGCTCCTCGGAGCTTTGTCGGTATCCAAGATGGAGATCACCGGTGCTGGGGGTGGAGGGGTGGCCTTCCCTCCTCTGCTCCCTGAGAAGGAGTGAGGACGTCGGGCTTCTACTCACGCCGAGTCTTGGATCCTGGGTCGTCTCTCGTCTGCAAACTGCAGGCTGAAGATGTCCGCTCCTTGTCGGTTCTTGCTGGTGTTGAGTAGAATCCTCTCGCCCGCTGCGTCTGGCTCCTTCGTCCCGGACTGTCTGTGTGAGCTCTCAGGTATGGCCGCGGCTGCGGTTGCCACCTCGACCCTGCCGCCGCCGCGGCTGCTGGCAGGGGCTCAGATGTGTCTCCTTGTCTTGGCTTCCCCTCTCTTGTCTAACTCTCTGTCCTGTGATGGCACACTTGGTGTGATTCTCTGGCTTAGGACTGTTCACTGGAACTCTAAAACTGCTTTCTATGCGAGAGCTTGTTCAGATTCCAGCTTCTCCTCCGCCATCTTCCCGGAACTCCGGGTTGACCAATCTTATTCCTCATAAGACCAGGTAATAAATCCTTTGGCTTTGTGAACCATGGGGGATGGGTTATAAGTTAATTCTACCCCTGTAGCTTGCAAAAATGGGCTGGGAAGGTGGCTCAGTGGTAGAGCGCTTGCCTTGCATGCATGAGGCCCTGGGTTCGATTCCTCAGCACCACATAAGAAAAAAGAAAAAAGCTGGAAGTGGCGCTGTGGCTCAAGTGGTAGAGCACTAGCCTTGAGCTGAAGAGCAGAGGGACAGCGCCCAGGCCCAGAGTTCAGGCCCCACGACCGGACCCCCCCCACAAAAAAAAAAAAATGGACATGTGTGTTGCAATAGAATTGGGCGCTAGACTGGATTTGGTTCACGGACTGTAGTTTGCTCAGCCTTGCAGTAGTCAATGAGTGAATTTACCCTCTTTGGTCTCCAGAGATTTATTTATTTATTTTTGTTGGTGTGGGCTTGAACTCTGGGCCTGGGCGCTGTCCCTCAGCTCTTCAGCTCACGGCAGGCGCTCTACCACTTGAGCTACAGTCCCACTTCCAGTTTTCTGAGTGGTTTATTGGAGATAAGAGTCTCACAGACTTTCCTGCCCAGGCTGGCTTTGAACTGTGATCCTCAGATCTCAGCTGCTTAAGTAGCTGGGATTACAGGCATGAGCCACCGGCACCGGGCTGGTTTGATTTCTTCACTATGGAGTCCATAAGGAGCTATGAAACCATCTACTCAGGCCCTGCCACTGATGGTGTTTGGGGCTTTTGTGATGGTGGATGGCACCCACTTTTCCTTTTCCCCATGAGGGCACATGGTGGGGTGTTCAGAAGTCAAGAGAAGGGAGAAATCCAGTTGGGATTCAATCCCCAGTCAGAGTTCCTTTGGCCACCACGATGAACTATGTATAAATGATTCCCAGAGATGTTAGTTAATTGCATTTTGTCACACAGGCGTGAGGACATCTGTGAGACCACACACGCACACTCATGCACACATACGGACATCCTGGGGACAGACAAATCGTGTGGACGGAGAGGCAGGTGGACAGCCCGCAGTATCAGTGCACACGCTTGTGCCCCCACCCTGGCCACCAGGAGAGAAGGGTTCTGCACATTTTGTCCTACATCCCAAATCGAGGGTGACCGCTCACAATGCGGGGAAAAGGAAGATAAAGAGGCAAAAAAAAAAAAAAAAGGGGGAACTGAAATGAAAATATCCCACTCTGTCAGCAGTAAGTATGGTATAAGACTTGGGTGTTAGACAGACAGACAGACTTCTGTCAACATGGCCACAGGGCTTCTCATTCTCTGGCTGGCGATGGGACTCGGGTGGCTTTTTCCGAGTAAGTGTCTGCTGCTTTCTATGTGGGCTCCCTGTTGGAGAATATTATAGTGTAATAGTTTCTAGTATGCTCTTCCACTCCTCCAGGTGGAGGGTATCCCCTGCCTGTTACACAGGGATTTATCCGGAGGCTGGTTTGGGTTTTTTTTGGGGGGGGCGGTAATTTTATATGCTGATACTGGAAAAGAAAATTTCAGAATAAAACATAAGCACAATATATCCGAAAAACAAGGGCAAGAAATTCCATTTGCATGTTTTCTATCGCACAGCATCAAGGCAATTTATTCTCTTAAGAACCCTTGTTATAATAGCCACTGTACTCTTATTTTCAGGAGTGTTTAGTTGCTTTTTGTTTCCTTTTGTTTTGCTGGGGATGGCTTCAAGGAGAAAGGCTGTTTGATTGTTTGAGACAGGATCAGTACTTTGTTACCAGGCAGGTCTTCTGCCTTAGCTCCCTAACGGTGGGGGTTATACGTGTGTACTACCATATCTGGCTAAGGAGATAGTTCTTTTCTGCACATTGTGTCCAAGTTTTACATGAGCCATGTATGCCCAGTTTGGGCCAGGGAAGACATTCTGGGGTATACACCAAGCTGGCACTCTTCCTGGTAATTTGTATGGACACTGGGAGTCTGTGAATTGCTCCTTCTCTTCTGTGTGTGAGGGTCCTGAATGAGACCATCTACTGTCTAGGATAGTAGATAGGTATCTGTACAGGTGGGCCATTAGGGTGGGCCAGGGGGCTTTGTCTCCTGAATCCTTCTAGACAGACTCCCCCCTTCCCCCAAGAAACAACCCATAGGTTGGGAGTTATTCCTAGCCTTTCATGTGGTATGTGCATTTTTTTTCTTCTTGTCAGTCATGAGTCTTGAACACTGGGTCTGGGTGCTGTCCCTCAGCTCTTTAGCTCAAGGCAAGCCCTTTACTACTTGAGCCACAGCACAACTTCTGGTTTTCTAGTGGTTCATTGGAGATAAGAATCTCATGGACTTTGCTGCCCAAGCTGGCTTTCAACTGGGATCTTCAGATCTTAGCCTCCTGAGTAGCTAGGATGACAGGCGTGAGCCACCGGCGCCTGGCTTAAAGTCTGACTCTTACTGTTTTGACTAGTCTTCATGTTGCCCGTGAACTTGAGGTTTCACTGCAGTGTTTAATTATGCTGAAGTCTTTGGGGTCTTGAGCCACGTGTCCCGTTTGTGACTTGTGGATTTGTGGTGGGACACGGCATGCATCAAATGGGCTTTCCCAGCCTTGCTTGGAGGAAGTTGTACCTGGTGAACTGTTCTTTTTTTGTTTGGCTGGTTTGGTTTTATTAGTGACCATGAATTGTACACAAGGGGATTTTCATGGTGACATTTCTTTCTTTTTTTTTTTTTGGTCGGGTGTGGGACCTGAACTCTGGGCTGGGGCTCTGTCCCTCAGCTCTTCAGCTCAAGGCTAGCACCCTACCGCTTGAGCCACTTCTGGCTTTTTTCTGCTTATGTGGTGCTGAGGAATCGAACCCAGGGCCTCATGCATGTGGAGCAAGCGCTCTGTCCCTGAGCCACCTTCCCAGCCCCATCACGGTGACATTTCCATACATGTATGCAATGCACCCTCTGTCCACACCTTCCCCTTCCCAGCACTCTCCTTACACCCTTCCCCTTCTAAAATGATCTCAGCACATTCATTGGTTTATTTTTCTACATACATGCGGAGATCACTGGCACCTGCTGCCTCCTCTTTTGCCTGGACTGACCTCAGACCTCAATCCTCCGATCTCTGCCTCTCCAGTAGCGGAGATGACAGGCTTATGCCATCATGCGTGGGCCATGTTGGTTTTGGATGGGTTTGTATGAAATAGAAGAAGTGAAATTGAAGATTACAGGGTGGAGACTGTATTGACTAATATTCAAGATCAGCATGTTTTAATCTGCAAAAGGGCCTTGCTGTGGAAAGGAGTTTATAGAGACTCGGGGGGGTAGGGAGGTGGGGGGGGAAGCTCTGTCTCTGGCTTGGGTGGGGAGTAGGGAGGGGCATATGTGGATTCAGATTTTGGCAGCCCTGAAGGGTGTGTTGAAGTATGCTAAAGAAAGATACACAGATTCCAACCCTCTGGAATCTTCTGGAAGCATCGAGAGGCCTTCATCCATGTGATATCGATGTCTCCGTTATTTCCCTGCAGCACCTACATCAGCGGAGCGCACGGTGACGGGCACACTGGGCCAGGCGGTGATCCTGCCTTGTGTTTATTCATCATGGTCTCAGAGCCGCAACAGCATGTGCTGGGGGAAAGGCCCCTGCCCCAAGTCCAAGTGCACCCAGGAGCTCCTCCACACGGACGGGGCCAGAGTGATCGCAGGGAAGTTGGACAAATACCAGCTCCAGGGAGACATCCAGAAAGGCGACATCTCCCTGACCATCGCCAAAGCCGAGGAAGGGGATGCAGGCGTGTACTGCTGCCGCATCGAGGTGCCCGGCTGGTTCAACGACGTGAAGAGGAACATCCGCCTGCTGCTCAGGAGAGGTGAGCTCCAGGGAGGACGCTGGGGAAGGAGGAGGAGTCTGGGGGTGCCTGGGGCCCAGGATCCATGGATTGTGATGAAGAGGCGGTAACTTACGGAGCGAGTGGGAAGATTAGATTGAGAGTCAGGCCACAGAGCAGACATGGAAACCCCAGGACAACCACAGAAATGAATACAAGGGGTGTGTGGGAAGGAGAGGGGGCAGGAAACCAGATCAGGCTGAAGAGGGAAGTGCTCGTTACCTTAGGAAGTTGAACCCAGTGTTTTCAGATTTCCTGTGTGTGTGTGTGTGTGTGTGTGTGTGTTTCTTTCCTCTTCTGGTGGTCCTGGGATTTGAACTCTGGGACTCATACTTGCTAAGAAGGTATTCTACCACTTGAGATATGCCCCTCATCCTTTAGTTTTTAGTCTAGTTTGTTTTTTTTCCCCCAGATAGGGTCTCGTGCTTTTGCCTGGCCTAGCTCTGAACACGTCTGCCTCCAGAGTAGCTGCGATTGTGGGCATGCGCCCACCCTGCCTGTCTGTCTCTCGGCTTTTCAATTTGTATGTGAGCTAGCATGGAGGCTTCTTCCTCTCCCCTCTTCCCATATTGGTTGATTTCGAAATAATAAGGAAAAAACTGTTCTATGAAGTCAGTTGAATGCGTGGTGGGGCGGCTGTGCCTTGGAAGCAAATAGTTAGTGACTTCTGGTGCGGGGTCAGGACATGGCGTTTGGAGACAACCCCGGCAGAGTTCAGGCTTTGTCTGCTGTTCCTATCAGGTGCTTTTTGATAAGAATTTGGGGACTCTGGATTAGATTGTCACCAGGCCCAGCGGCAGTAATCCAAGCACAGCGATTGTCTGTTTGAGACAAGACCTCCTTGTCGGAGTTGGAAGCAGGGGTTGGACGTACTTACAGGTGCAGTAGAAGGAGTAAAGTCTAGATCGGGAGAGACAGGGATGGAGGCAGTGAGCATTTCAGCGAGCAATCCACGCTTCCCCCCCTGGGCACCAGGTGAGGGACACAGACAGGGAGAACTGAAGGTCACAGGTACACATGGGTTTCCTTCCCCTCTGCTTGGGGCCACTCACCTCTTCCCCCGGTGTCAGCCCCCAAACCCAAGGTCCCAACGACAACAAGTCCAACAACCACCCCTCGCCCAACCACCGCCCTTCACCTGACGACCACCACCGAGGGGCCTCCGACCGCAGTCATGGCCACATCTGCTCTCACAACCAGAGCACCGCCGCAGACCAGCGCTTCCCCCGTCCTCCCAACCGCGGGGACCACGTGCCCCGCGCCCAGCTCCAGTCCCCTCCCACAGCCATCCACACCCCTCAGCACTGAGACCTCCACCGGCCCGTCCACCGCAGCTGCAGGTGAGCGCTGACAGGGCTGGCCCTTCTACGGGAAGGGACGGATGTGTCTTGGGTTTATTTACAAGCGATGGGGGAGCTCCAGGAGAACTTGCTGGTGTGTGTGTGTGTGTGTGTGTGTGTGTGTGTGTGTGAGAGAGAGAGAGAACACAGAGAGAGAGTGGAGAATAATGATATGGCTCACTTAACTGTTCCTGTTGTTTGTTTTATGAGATCTTTTTCCTGTTTCTTTTCCTCGGTGTTTTTGAAAAGTCAGCATTTGGGGTTTTCCACTTGACCTCCCAGGCATCTCAAAGTAGTTGCTTATTGAAGCACTAGAAAGGTCATTCTGGGTTAGGCTCAGCTCTCAGGACTGAACCTTGGCGGGCATGTGAGCTTCACTTGAGCAAAGGCCTCTCGATGCCTTGGAATGGCCCTGGGAGCTGAATATTTCTTTTTCTTTTCTTTTGCCAGTCATGGGGCCTGAGCTTTTGTAGTCAAGGTTAGCTGTGCTACCACTTAGAGCCACAGCTCCCCTTCTAATTGGAGATAAGAATCTCACAGACTTTCCTGCTCAGGCTGGCTTTGAACCGTGATCCTCAGATGTCGGACTCCTGAGTAGCTGGGATTACAGGCATGAACCACTGACACCCAGCTCCTTTCTGAATATTTCTTAGCCCTGGATCTTGTACCTCTTAGGTTGACAGGCTTGTCAAAAGCCTCCTCTCCCGTCATTAGATTTTCACCTCTGATTCTGAGCCAGAGCCTTGAAAAGGACCATGAGCCTGTTTTCCTAGGCTGTTCAGCTGTCTGCAGGAGGCCTGGCTAATTCAAACAGCTTTGCAATATTAAATCAGCAAATTGTAGTGCACTCTGGGCAGTCACTAACATCCCTGAACTCTAAATACATTTTTGTATATATTGGTTTGAAAAGACTCATCCTAGGCTAGGTGCCGGTGACTCATGCCTGTAATCCCAGCTACTTAGGAGGCTGAGATTTGAGGATCACAGTTCAAAGCCAGCCCAGGCAGGGAAAGTCTGTGAAACTCTCATCTCCAATAAACGACTCAGAAAAAGCCATAAGTATGCGGTGGCTCAAGTGGTAGAGCGCTAGCCTTGAGCACAAAGAGGCTCAAGGAGAGCAATCGGGCCGAGTTCAAGCCTCAGGACCAGTTTAAAAAACAAACAAAAAAAAGACCCATCCTAAAACATGTAGATGTTTTCTTTCTAAAAATGGAGGGAAACTGGAAATCTAAAAAGCAGCACAATGACGGTGGAAAAGGAATAGCCCTAAATTCCGCTACCCACCACAAACCCCAGTGAACACCGCCATTCGCAGTTGATTTTCATCAGCCTTTTTTTTCCTCTTCCAGAATCAGAGACCTCTCTTCAATCCACCAACTCCCCCGGAGCCACAGAGGCCCCTCCTGCAGACTCTGCCTTGCCCATGTCCAAAGGTGGGTCCACTGCCCCCCTCCACCTTTCAGAACGGGGAGCGAGGGTTTATTTGCCATACTGCTGCAGGCTGGAAGCTCCACCTCTCTCTTTCTTTCTCTTTTCTTTCTCCAAAGGGATGGAAGGCTGGGTTCTCTGGTCCCAATCCCCCGCCATGAAAAGGGGAAGGAAAGACATGGAGCCGTCTAGGTCTGGAGGTAAGGGAGCTGTGTTCCAGCCACTGGCTTGTCTCTGGCCGTGGGAACAATCTACTCTGTGTCTTGGGATTCAGCTGCTTTGGTTCCCATGGGGTCATAGCCCACATCGTCCTAGGAGCTAGAGCAAAAGGGAAACTGGCTACATGGCTTCTGTGGCTTCTGTGGCTTTGGCTCTGTTCCGGAGCCCCTCTCCAGCTCTTCCTTCTTCCTCAGCAACGTGGGCCTTGAAATCTGAAAGCATAGCCAGGAAGTCACCTATTCATTTTGCAACCTATTGTTGATCTGTGGTAAGTCGCACACACAGTACTCGAATGCACTTTCGTTAGTTGGACATAAGCATATTGGAAGCAAACATCTCATTGACTCTGTACCTTCAACTCCAGCCTCTTGCTCTGTGACCCTCTGTGTTATTAGTTGAAGGTGAGTATGCTACATCTTTTTTCCCATTCCCTTAAGTGTATGTTTGCACAGAGAAATACCTACTTTTGTTTGTGGTGTAGGTGTGTATGCGTGTACAGGGGCTTGAACTCAAGGCTAGTCCTCTACCACTTGAACTACATCTTCACTTTCAGCTTTATGGTAGTTAATTGGAGATAAGAATCTCTTGGACTTTCCTTCCCTGGGCTGGCTTTGGGCTGTGATCCTCAGATCTCAGCATCCTGAGTAGCTAGGATAACAGGCTATTTGAGCTGCTTGTGTGTATGTGTGTATGTGTGGGCTTTTTTTTTGTTTTAAGCCATCATACCAGATGCTGCCTTTACATCTGGCTTTCTTCACTGAGTATTATGTATTGGACCACATTTGTTTTCAGTCCGTGTAGAGATCTGCATTTCTCAGTTGCTGGATAATATGGTGCTTATTGTATTGATCACCTATTGGATGGCATTTAAATTGCTCCAGTGTTTCTGTATTCTGATAGTATTATGTGAACATCTCTGAGTATGCATGTTTCCTTAAGCACATACACAGGTGCTTCTGAATGTAGGCCAGGAATCAAGAAGTAGAAATGCTCGCTTAACAATCCTAGTGTGTTGGGCTGGGAAGGTGGCTCAGTGGCAGAGTGCTTGCCTTACATGCATGAGGCCCTGGATTCGATTCCTTAGCACCATATAACCAGAAAAGGCCAGAAGTGGCACTGTGACTCAAGTGGTAGAGCCTTGAGCTGAAGGGCTGAGGGACAGCGCCCAGGCCCAGAGTTCAGGCCCCACAACCAAAAAGAAAAAAGAAAAAAAAAATCCTGGTGTATACTATGCAATTGAATTGCAATCATAAACTCGTCCTTGAGACCATTTATCTATCTACCCATAGAGTATCTGATTTCCCAAATTCTCCCCACCCTTGATGTGATCAATTGTTATCAATTTTTTCACTCTTCTGAGAGTATATGTTGGGTTCCTCCCCTCCCCCCCCTTGTTCTGATTAGCAAAGAGTTTAGGTTCATTCTATGTATTTGTTCATCAGAAAATAGTTGTCCCTTAACCTTGTGCAGATCTCCCTCACAGAGGCCTAGAAGTTAGCCCTGGAGGGAGGGGCAGGGGTGAGTGTAAAGGGGGTCTGGGGGGGAATTCAGACCATACATCCAGATAAGGGCGAGCTTCTGTGGAAAAGCTGAGAGCTCCCGCTAACCCATTCAGCGGAAAGACAGAGATCTATACCAGGAGTCCACAACTCAGGGAAAGTGGGGTGCCAAGATCAAACACTCTGTTTATGGTGTATGGAAAAGGTGGAGCATTACTTTGTGAGAAACCGGAAGGTAGCAAGTAGAAAATTGATTGAGGGAACTGGGAAGGTGGCTCAGTGGTAGAGCGCTTGCCTTGCATGCCTGAGGCCCTGGGTTCGATTCCTCAGCACCACATAAGCAAAAAGAAAAAAGCCGGAAGTGGCGCTGTGGCTCAAGTGGTAGAGCGCTAGCCTTGAGCTGAAGAGCTGAAGGACAGCGCCCAGGCCCAGAGTTCAGGCCCCACGACCGGACCTCCCCCCCCAAAAAAAAAAAAAAAAGAAAAAGAAAATTGATTGAGGGTAGACAGAGTGCCCCCCAAACTCTTACCCTTTGTTCCATTGAAATCTGGGACTATTTTACGTCAACTTGATGATAATGATGATGATGATGATGTCTGTTGTGGAGCTTGAACTATGGGTCTGGGTGCTGTTGGTCAGCTCTTCAGCTCAAGGCTAGTGCTCTACCACTTCAGCCACAGCACCACTTTACATTTTCTGTGGTTTATTGGAGATAAGAGTCTCATGGACTTTCTGGGCTGGCTTTGAACTACGATCCTCAGATCTCAGCCTCCTGAGTAGCTAGGATGACAGGAGTGAGCCACCAGTACCCGGCTTTTTTTTTTTTTTTAACCTTCTAGCCTGTCCCTCATAATTTTCATTTTATCCTCCTGGACCAAAAGATTTCTGCAGTATCTGCTGTCAGCCCTGCTACTGCTGAAGAGGGGCTTGCTATAAGAAGGCTCAACCAAGCTGGGTGCTGGTGGCTCATTCCTGTCATCCTGGCTACTCAGGAGGCTGAGATCTGAGGATCACGTTCAAAGCCAGCTTGGTCAGGAAAGTCCATAAAACTCTTAACTCCAATAAACTACTCAGAGAAAGCAGGAAGTGATGCTGTGGCTCAAGTGGTAGAGCACTAGCTTTGAGCAAAAGAAGCTTAGTGACAGTGCCCAGGCCCAGCGTTCCAGCCCCACGACCAACAAAAACAAAACAAACAAAGAAGCGTTAAGGGTGATCACCTATGAATGAACGTTTAAGGAAGCGTGAATACTCAGCCCCCCTCCCTCCTCAATTACCTAATTGTGTGTTTGCATGTGCACATATTTTTATATGGGAGTGAGGAGTCTAGAATTTGTGTTTTAGATTCTCAAACCCTTTTTCCATGCCTCCAACGGTTAGGAACTATATAATCCAATCATGAACACAACCCACAGTGATAATAATAAAAACCTCTGATGAAGGTAGGAGAGAGTTGTTTATTTTCTTCCTCTCAGAAGTCTATTCGAGGAGGGAAAATGCTCCTATTAGGTTCAGTCACTTCTTTTCTTGCTTGGTACCCAGGATATTCCCTAAAGATTCATTCCTTATTGTTTATGAGTTCCCAAGCCCGAGCAAACGCAGCCGTTTGATGATGCCATTTCCTTAATAAAACCACACAGCCCGGGTGAAGTTCCTTTCTGATTATGTCTCAGGATGGGTTTTTATACTACCTCATTATCCCCAGCCCTTTCTTCCTAGTCCATTCTGCCCTAGCCTTCTGAGTAGCCTGGGATGTGGCGGTAAGACAGAGCACTATATGGAGAGTCTGGAGTGTCATGGTTATATCCGTGTTTGCAGTGATTATTTTCCTTTTAGAATCTCAAGTGAGTTACTCGCTCTGTGCTTTTCTGCTTCCTCAAAATAGTAAATAGGATAATAGCAGTGTGTATGTTACAGAGCTGTAAGGGAAGGGAACTCGCGACACACAAAAAAAGCCTAGTGTGTAATTATTGACAGGTAAATGATAGTCGTTGCCAAGGGTTCTTGATTTCTTCCTTCTTTCCGTCTCTGATGTATTTCCATTCACACACCTTCCATTGCGGGTTAATAGAGGCCACTTCCCGCCTTCTCTCAGCCGACTTGCTATTCCTGCTAAGTACATAGACACTCTTTAGTTTTATGATATTTTAACTGCTAATCACACGAGGGAAATGGCCAACAAGTGACAAAAATCACCAAGTTAGGGAAGTTTAAAAAGCTTCAAAAAAATCCCTCATGGTGGTAATTCTCTACTATTAGAGCCAGTGTTGGGATTTTTGATCCTCCTCCTCCTCCTCCTCCTCCTCCTCCTCCTCCTCCACCTCCTCCTCCTCCTCCTCCTCCTCCACCTCCTCCTCCTCCTCCTCCTCCTCCTCCTCCTCCACCTCCTCCTCCTCCTCCTCCTCCTCCTCCTTCTTCCCCTCTTCTCCCCCCTCCTCCCCCCTCCTCTCCTCCTCCTCCTGTTTTCCTCCTCCTCCCCTCCTCTTCCTCCTCCTCCTCCTCCTCCTCTCCCTCTCCCTCTCCCCCCCCCCTCCTCCTCCTTCTTTGGATGGTTTCTGTAGACCTTGTGATGGTTGGGTTTCAGTGCAGGGGTAGATGTCATTCATCTCACCACCCTCTGTTTGCTCACGACGAGGGAGTTCCGCGCTGTGATCAAGGCTTGAAAACCAAGTCATGGATGAAAGAGCATGGCAGTCTAAGGTACCATTCAAGGGCTCCCAGAGCGATTTGACGTTCTAGAAGGCACTCCCAATGATGTGTCTTGAAGAAGCTCACTGGACCACACAGCACCGTGGAGGGAGAGTCTGGGACTTACCGCTGGGTTCAGGGATATTTTTTGTATGTATGTATGTATGTATTTTTGTCAGTCGTGGGGCTTGAACTCTGGGCCTGGATGCTGTCCCTGAGCTCTTCAGCTCATGGTTAGCGCTCTACCACTTGAGTCACAGCGCCACTTCTGGTTCTCAGGTGGTTCACTGGAGATAAGAGTCTCATGGACTTTCCTGCCTGGGCTGGCTTTGAACTGTGATCCTCAGATCTCAGCCTCCTGAGTAGCTAGGATGAGCCACCGATGCCCAGCTCTAAGGGATATTAATTTTGTGAGTCCAAGAACTGCTGGAGGTGAGAGGCGAGGGTAGGGACAGTAGTTCTCTGTAGAACACTACTCAATGAACGCGATGGGAAACAGGCTCAGAAAAAGGCCAGCGGTTTGAGCGAGGCCTGGCAAGGAGTAAGAAGGCGGTGGAGACCAGACCCGGTTCTCCTGATCTGGCCACTGCACAGTCCACTCCTGAAGTATGAGGATTGACTGTTCCTCAGCCCTTATACGGATCATGATACCCAGCAACCGGCAGGAAGCCAGAACAGAACGGCTTCAAACATAACGCAACTGTAGCACCCGTGAGAGCTTCGGGGTCAGGCTGGAGATATTGAACCCTGCCTGAGTCTCACAATAAACTCTTCTTGGTTTTACAGGCCCAGAGTGGAGTGAGGGAAGGGGGCTTTGCATCTTTCTTCTTTGCCAAGTCAGCCCCAGTTTCACTGTCCGAAGAAAGCCTCCCTGTGTGTGCGTGTGGGGTGTTGAGTGTCAGTGTGTGAGACTGTGGAGTGTGTTGATCCTGAGGCCCAGATGCCAGCCTTTAGTGTTTGTTGTTTTTGATCAGAGTGATGCTCTACCATTTGAATCATAGCCCCACTTCTGGCTTTTTGGTGGTTAGTTGGAAATAATCTCTTGGACTTTTCTGCCTGGGACTAGCTTCAAACCTTTGTGCTCCGATCTCAGCCTCCTGAATAGCTAGGATTGCAGACGTGAGCCATGGGTGCCTGGCTTGAGGGTTTTTTTGTTTTTGTTTTTGGTCAGTCTTGGGGCTTGAACTCTGGGCCTGGGCACTGTCCCTCAGCTCTTCAGTTCAAGGCTAGCACTCTACCACTTGAGCCACAGCGCCACGTCCGGTTTTCTGGTGGTTGATTGGAGATAAGTGTCTCACAGACTTTCCTGTCTGGGCTGGCTTTGAACCATGATCCTCAGATCTCAGCCTGCTGAGTAGCTAGGATGACAGGCATGAGCCACCGGCACCTGGATGAACTTGAGTTTGTAAATAATTTTGTGGCCTTATCAGCAAAGGGAGGCTCACTTCTGTTCACAGATGTTGCAAGATGAGGAGAGAGACGAAGAGGGGCAAAGGGAAGGCCTCCCACTCCTCTGCCCCATCAAAGGAACAATGGGGGAGACGGCGGTGGGAGAGAAAAAGCCAGCTAAGGCAATAGAGGGGAGACACCAAGGAGCAGGCTGGGAGCCCCACAGTAGAGGGTCACATTCTGCTGTGTACATTCTGCTGCCTTTTTGTACTACTTCTCTATGGAAGGTGGTCTTGAGGATCGAAGGGCCAGGAAACACAGCATGGAATCTAGCAGGTGCTTTGACAATGCTCTCTAGCCGGGCAGCACTTCCCAATTGAGCCTCAGGCATTTTGTGAGGAAGGGGAAAAAAATACGTTTTCTCTGGTCTCCTTGCAGCAGCGTTAGTTTGCAAAACACTCTCCCGTTAGATCACTCCAATAAAACCACCCCTGGGCTGGCTTTCCGTTGGGTACATTCAATTTCAGGCATAGCTATCAGAAATAATTACACGACCACAGCGTTCTGCCAAAGCGGGGGTAGGAGTCTGAATTCCCACCTGCAATTTCTCGCTCCCAAGGGATAACGGGCGAGAGAAGAGCGGCAACCACTTAGTTGCAGGACACAAAAGCTGTGTGAATTTCTTCCACGGGTGGTTAAGGCTCTTACACGTCCAGCCAGTCACTTTCCCAGAGGAACCAATGAAACTGTGGGGCTCTAAGTGTGAGCCTTCCAAAACCTGGCACATGACTCCTTTGCCTAATTCTCAAGGGAAGCCAGGAGACAAACTTGATTGATTTCGGTAATGATCAGCTTAGATGATAATCATAGTCAGGCCTTTTGTTTTCCTGTGCAGGTTTGATGTAGTATATCTGCCTAGGGTTTTGTAGCAGGTATAAGGACATCTTCTTGGATGTCAAGAACAGCTTCCAACCTGCTCTTCCTTCCTCTGATTGGTCCTCTTCTCCATGCTCCGCCCTCCTCTTACTGCTCATGCTCCACAGCAGTCCTGCTGGAAGTCAGCCTTTGGGTTTCTCGTTCACTAAGGACGCTGTTGCCAAGATGCTGGTAACTTCCAAGTCAGTATCTCTGATGCCATCTCCTGGGTTTTATTCCATTTCTAATACATACCAGACAACAGAATGATAGAAACTTTTTTTTTTTTTGTGGGGCTTGAACTCAGGGCCTGGGCACTGTCCCTGAGCTTCTTGGTCCTCAAGGCTAGTGCTGAGCCACAGCACCAGTTTTGGTTTTTTGAGTGGTTAGTGATAAGAGTCTCTCGGGGACCTTTCTGCTGAGGCAGGCTTTGAACCATGATTCTCAGATCTCAGCCTCCTGAGTAGCTAGGATTACAGGCTTGAGCCACCAGTGCCCAGCATGATTTCTTACTGGATAGAAAGCCTTAATGTATCTTTAGAGCCTATAGAAACGTCTGTGCCCGCCTATGAAGTGGAGATGTTCCTGTGGCATAATTTTGGCAAGCAGATCAACATTCAATTAGAACCCTATCAAAACAAATGTGCATAACTAATTATGCAAAAGAGCAAAGATGGTAGTGAAGAATTAAACACATCAGCTGAACTCCCAGGTGGCCTGTGAGGTACCTTTATCCGAAGGGGGATTTTTATTTTCCCACAGGAAATGTAACTATTCCCTTCATTCTTCCTTCCCACCAGATCAGAAGAAAAACACTGGGCACAGTAATGGCGAATCAAATCAGGTAAAGTGCATGATAGGTTTTTACGCCAGTGGATGAGAGAGAGAATATTGCTAAGTGGCAAAATGTCTCACAACCATTATGAAATAGTCAAAGGATCTGTATAGCTGTACTCTAGGCAGAAATCATATCGATTGTTACTTTTATATATGGAGTAGACGGCCCACATCATCATGGTCTGGAGGGAGGAAGGGAGGCCAAGAAAGGAGAAAGGTGGGAAGGAAGGAGAGGGGAGGGGTAGAAGAGAATGCCTGTGTTGCTGGCTTTCTTTTCCCAGGGCCTGGGCCTTGTCCCTGAACTCTTTTGCTCAAGGCTAGCACTCTCTCCCTTCTCCACTTCTAGTTTTCTGGTGGTTCATTGGTGATAAGAGTCTCACGGACTTTTCTGCCTGGGCTGGCTTTGAACCGCGATCCTCAGATCTCAGCCTTCTAAGCAGCTAGGATGACAGGCGTGAGCCACCAGCTCCTGGCATCATTTTCTTTCTTCTTTTTTTTTTTTTTTGGTCCGGTTGTGGGGCCTGGACGATGTCCCTCAGCTCTTCAGCTCAAGGCTAGCGCCCTACCACTTGAACCACAGCGCCACTTCCGGTTTTCCAGTCGTTTATTGGAGATTAGAGCCTCATGGAGTTTCCTGCCCGGGCTGGCTTTGAACCGTGATCCCAGCCTCCTGAGTAGCTAAGATTACAGGCGTGAGCCGCCAGCGCCCAGCTAATCAGATCTTTTTAAATCTTCAGGTTCAACAGACCTGAGGATGTCTAAGATTTAGGGAACTTTGGGGGCTATGTGTAAAGTCTTAGATGTTTCAGAAGTTTATACGATCTGATGAACGGGCTGACGTTGGTTTGACATTTGAGACATAGTTGGTCCAAACATGGCCAAGCTGCTGGTAATGAGTGTTTGCCATCCAGGGCAGGGCTGATGGCTTCACCCCTCCCTGTCTCTCCAGGTCAGCGTCCCCCTGATCATTGCCTCCACCATGGGATTTGTGCTGTTCCTGGCTTTCCTCTTGGCATTTCTCCTGCGAGGTAGGTGGCAGGGAGCCCTTAGCGCCGAGGTAACTCCAGCAAGATCTGGGGGTGGGCAGTTCCTGCCTTCCCACCTATCCTTAAAGAGGTTCAGACTTACCGCTGGCCCCTCTACTGCGTGGGAGGGCTCCTAGCCCTCTTCTCCATGACTGTGCTAATGGCTGGTGTGTTGTCCTGCTCGTTAGCCTTGATATTTTGGACAGGAAAAACAAGAGTAAGTGCACCTACATTGCTTAAAACTGGCTATCTGTCAGCCCTAACACGGTATTCTTTATTTCTGGAGTGGGCAAGACGAGGGGGAAATTCAGGGCCAGTAACTCCCTCAGCCATTTTTTGCTCCAGTCTGGTGTTCTACCACTTGAGCCACACAGCTCTCTATTTCTGGGGTTTTTTTTTGGCCTGTTAACTAGAGGTAAGTGTCTCATTGACTTTTCCTGCTAGGGCTGGCTTCAAATTGCGATCCTCAGATCTCAGCCTCCTGAATATAGCTAGGATTTCAGGTATGAGCCCCCAGCACCCAGTCATTTTGGGGGCTTTTTATAAATTGGGGGTTGGATCAGTGGTCAGTCCCTCTGACACAGGGTGGCATGCATCCTGATTAGACCAGCAAGCTGATCAGGGTGGAGTTTTGTCCAGAAATACGTCTGAGTTTCTGAGTACTGTGATATTTTTAGAAAAGGAAATACCTGGGCTGGGAAGGTGGCTCAGTGGTAAAGTGCCTGCCTTGCATGCATGAGGCCCTGGGTTCGATTCCTCAGCACCACATAAGCAGAAAAAAAAAAGCTGGAAGTGGCGCTGTGGCTCAAGTGGTAGAGTGCTAGCCTTGAGCTGAAGAGCTGAGGGACAGCGCCCAGGCCCAGAGATCAGGCCCCACGACTGGACCCCCTCCCCCCCCCCCCCAAAAAAAGAAAATACCTGTCAGGTCTGCAAAAGATAAGCAAGGAGCTAGACACCTGAGATTCGTGCCTGTAATCCTAGCTACTCAGGAGGTTGAGATGTGAGGATCACGGATTCTTAGCTAGCCCAGGCAGGAAAAGAGAGAGATTCTTGTCTCCAACGAACTAGCAAAAGGCCAGAAGTAGAGCTGTGGCTCAAATGGTAGAGCACCAGCCTCAAGTGACTAAGCTGACAGTGCCCCAAGTTCAAGCCTCAGTATCAACCAAAACAAAAACAAAGTAAGCAAAGTTGGGCGAGACCCTGTACCAAAGGAAGTTATTAGGTTTGACACAGCTATCTTGCTTATACTGTGGCCTTACCTTTGCAGGAAAATTGACGAAAACCAACTGTTTGCAGAAACACAAGAGGTAATTCATGGTGCCAGGCTCCTGTTGCCCTGATCTTACAGATGATTAGAAAGAGGCTGTAAGATGTGTGCAAGGTGGAAAAGACTGGGGCCTCATTTCTGGGGTTCAGTTCCTCTTAACCCTTGACCATTAACCCTGGGGTATGATCCAAAGGGAAATGTCAAGACAGGTGTCCTTAGTAGAAAGAGGACTTGAAATGTCAGAACACAATAAAGAACATTTAGAATATTATTCCTGGGATGTGTTTCCCCTGTCCCCAATCCAGTTTTGGGTTATCGTTCATGCTCAGCTTATCAGTGGAGATGGGAGTCTCACGGACTTTTTACCCCACTTGGCATCGAAGCATGCATTCTCCAGATCTTTGCCTCCCAAGCTGGGCTTACAGGTGTGAGCTGCCAAGCCTGGCTGGAGACAGGTGCGTTTCTTTTTGTTGTTGCTGTTGTTTCCCCCACAGTTGGAAAATAAACAGTATTTGAAGAGTTTCTGAAATTGAATTTTGGGCATCTGGCCTGTTCTATGCATTTGGGGGGAAGAAATAAAAAGATGGAATGTAAGTTGTTAATGAACGATTTACTTTCATTAACTAACTGTACCACTACAATGTTGGCCAGCAAATTCTGTTTGTTTGTTTTGTCCTGGTCCATGGGCTTGAACTCAGGGCCTAAGAAGTCTTTGTTCTCAAGGCTAGTGCTCTACCACTTGAGCCAGAGCACCACTTCTAGCCTTTTCTAAGTAGTTTTTCGGAGATGAGAGTCTCACAGACTTTTCTTCCTAGGCTGGCTTTGAACCACGATCCTCAGCTCTCAGCCTCCTTAATAGCTAGGATTGCCACTGCTGTCCAGCTTGATCCTCAAATTAGAATGAAGAAGTAGGAAGTTGCCCCTGGAGATGCTCTTGGTTAAATAAATGCATTTAGATCACCACTTTCTGCTTTGCTAAGAGAGCCATTGCTCTTTCTTAGCATACATTGGTAACGCCAATCATGGCCGGCAGTCGCAGTTTCTGTAAGCTCTAGTCCTGGACAGCGGGGGCATTCCTTAGGAACACCTGTGTTTTTGTCTGGCTTGTTCTGGTGACGTTGGCCTTGCCTTGCTCATCGCGTCTGCTCTGCCTTGCAGGCTGGACACCACTGGAGAAAGCAAAACGGTGCTAGATGACTTGCAACATGGCGGAGACGACGAAGAGGGACTCTTCACCCTCTAACTCTCAACTTCTCTCAGGACTCTCAACATCTCTCCCGACTGGGCACGGGGGATGACACCCCAGGGTCCAAATAGGTCCCAGCATGGTTTCATTTTTGTTGGGTTCATTTTTCATTTTGAACGTGCCATCTTTTCCATGGAGGTAATGGGTCCAGTCTCTTTTTAATTTCACACATGAAAGGTACCGTAGAGACCACATCTTAACATGGTCTCTGTCCACACTTTAGTCTGTGCTGTAGGATCTTTGCTCAGGGTCCTTCAATACTTTGAAGAACTCGTTGCTGTCCTCATATGAGTTCAGACAATGTCAGGGTCATTGTGAGAGTCAGAAATACTGCAAGTAAGATCTGTCTCCTGTTTGCTTCTGCCTCTTGGTCCTAGATAAACACTGGGACCTGGGGGACCTCTGCTCCTGGCTAGCTTTCCTGAGGGTGGAAAAAGAACATCACAGGTCTCTAAATTGCCTTGCTTCTGGGACATGATTTCTGCTCCCTTCTCTTCTCTTCATTCCCTGTGTGTGACCATCTCTCCTTTTCTCTCTTGGGGGCACAGAGTGCCCAGCTTCTGATACCATAGGAAAACCCAGAGTCTGTACATAGAATCACACCATAATTCAGACTCCTGCCCCTTCCCTTCCCTTTCCACCTTCCCTTTCTCCCCACCCCCTTTCTTTTCTTTCTTGTTGGTTGTAGGGCTTGAACTTAGGGCATGGACACTGTCTCTGAGCTCTTGTGCTCAAGGCTAGTGCTCTACAACTTTGAGCCACAGCACCACTTCCCTTTTTCGGGTGGTTCATTGGAGATAAGAGTCTCATGGCTTTTCCTGCTGGGGCTGGCTTTGAACCACGATCCTCAGATCTCAGCCACCTGAGTAGCCAGGATTACAAGCATAAGCTGCTGGACTATCAGACTCATTTCTGACGCCTCAGTTTTCTATTATTTTCAGTTTCACACTGGAGTGTCTTTAAAGGAGACCTTACTGTTACGTCTTTACTCTTCCTCGGGAGAGCATAAGGTGGTGAATGACAGAGCAGAGCCACTATCTGGGTGTGAGGGTGAGCCACTCACAGCCAGTTCCTGTGTCTTTTGTGGCCATTTGCTCCTCGGTAGGAACAGGCTATTTGGAAAACTTCAGTAATAACCAGCCCGAGGAGCCCCGAGAAACACATCAAAGCAAACACTTGTTGAATGAATCAGCACTAAAAATGTGTGGACTGAAGCCATGGTTCAAGTGGTAGAGCATCAGCCATGAGCAAGCAAGCCACGTGAACACGAGGCCCTAAATTCAGGCCCTGGTACACACACACACACACACACACACACACACACACACACACACACACACACACACACACACACACACACACAATCTCAATGAGATCTGCTTCTGGCCAGCTGCTGGGGGAACATGAGCAGATCTGAAAGACACTCATTCCTCTAATAACATTCAATCACTTGCAAAGCAATAGAATCATAAATGGGCCAGCATGGAGTCTTTTGGTCTTTTGTTGGATTTCTTCTCTTTTGACCTTGTAACAAAAACAAAGCAAAATAAAGTTGGCCTCCTTGTTTGGCTAGGGCAGCCTAGAGGTTTTGTGTTCTGTTAGGTCCCTCAGCCTCACTAGAAAGCCCCTCTCTGGACATCGGGTGACAATGGGTCCAGGACAGCCTCCTGCATTCTGTTGGTGTTGAACAGAATGACAGGGTTGGCTCCATCGATAGACGTAATGACCAGCAGGTTGGTGTCCTCTCTGTGTTCCGTCATGAGTCTTATTACTGTTGGTGTCAGGTGCATCGAACAGAACTCAGAACACTTGCAACCAGAGGGTGAGGCCTGGAGTTGGCTTCAGGGCTTCACCATGGAGTGACACCGGAGGACTCGAACCAAGCACTGTCATGCTCCCTCGAAGAGATTTCCAAACACTGGACTGGCCATGCTTCAGAACCCAGGAAAAAAACCAATCCGTGTCCAGGCTCACAATGCATATTTAATGAGGAAAAAAATCCATAATGCTTAATCCTGGAAGGAATGATTTATAGGGATGTGGATTATTCACTTTGCACTAAATTAAGTTGTCTTCCTTAGCCAAAACAAGCCTTCCTGGCAGGATGTGTGTCACAGCCTTGGCTAATTAATGAGTTTCTGTGCGTGGATGAATTATTGATTGGACCTTTGTATCATCTGCCTGGGAGATGATAGAACATATTTACCATGTTCATATTCAGACACATAGGCACAAAAGAATTTTTTTAAGTTCTGGACATTTAACTCTCTATCACTTAATCATTCCATGAATATTTATGGAAACTGAGCTTGAGTTATTTTTAGACCCAAATTAGTAATAGTCCTCATCTGTGGATCTGAATGTTTGCTCTCCTTTTGTTGTTATAATTATGGATGTCTTATATCCAGATGTTTGATGTATTATTATTTTTTTAAAGGAACATTTCTTTTCAAATCCACTGAAATACCAAGCACTTAATAATGACGACGGTAACTTACATTTCCGCGATGTGTTTAATTTCTGCAGAATGTTTTCATCTCATTTCCTTGATGTAAAATAGTTAATCGGCACTTAACGTGTACTAGGAAGGAATATTATTCTGTTTTCACAAAACCCTACTAATTAACTGCTGTTATTATCTCCATCTTAGGAATGAATAAACTGAAGGAAAGATGGGTGGGGCTGGGATTGTGGCTGAGTGGTAGAGGGCTTGCCTAGCATGCATAAAGCCCTGGATTCAATTCCTCAGTACCACAAAAACAGAAAAAGCCAGAAGTGGCACTACGGCTCAAGTGGTAAAGCACTAGCCTTGAGCACCAGAGAGACTCAGGGACAGTGCCTAGGCCCTGAGTTCAAGCTCCTGGACTAGCAAAAAAAGAAAAGAAAGGTGGGAAGGGCAAGGCAGCTGTTCAGCAGTTGTAGAGGGCTGAAGTTTAAACACATGTGCTTTCACCTGGATCCAAAGTCTGGGGCTTGAACTCAGGGCATGGGTCCAGTCCCTGAGCTGTTTGCTTTTTTCAAAGCTAGCGTTCTACCATTTGAGTTTTACTTCCTTTTTTTTTTTTTTTTGGTCGGTCGTGGGTCTTAAACTCTGGGCCTGGCGCTGTCCCTGAGCTCTTCAGCTCAAGGCTAGCGCTCTACCGCTTGAGCCACAGCACCACTTCCGGTTTTCTGAGTGGTTTATTGGAGATAAGAGTATCACAGACATTACTGCCTGGGCTGGCTTTGAACCACGATCTTCAGATCTTAGCCTTCTGAGTAGGTAGGATTACAGGCGTGAGCCACCGGCGTCTGGCTTTACTTCCTTTTTTGTGTGTGTGCTAGCTAATTGGAGATGAGAGTCTCTTGGGCTTTCCTGCCTGGGGTAGCTTTGAACTGAGATCTTCAGAGCTCAGCCTCCTGAATAGCTAGGATTACAGGCGTGAGCTACCAGCTCCAGGCCTAGACCCCAAGTCTATGAATCCTATGGTTATTAGGGAAATTTCATATGGCCTTCTGCCATTCTTGTCTCCATTTATCAGAGACAGAAAGTAAGACAGATAAAATGGCATAGGGGTCATCTGCTTTGCATTGGGTACATTTCCTTCTGTGACCAGGTGACACCAAAGTATGATTGCAGGTTAGATAGCATGGATTAAAGACAATTAAAGACAAATCTATGTGAGAAACCTACATTCCTTCACAGCACGTCACATGGTTATCTAGAAATGGATCGTATTCACTAAGTGCAAGTATTAAAAAAAAATTCACAATGTTTTATTGTCGCAAAATCAGACTCTAAACCTATAGCTTGATAGGCCGCAAGGGAAGTAACCTTCCCTCTTCCTCCCTCCCTCCCTCCCTCCCTCCCTCCCTCCGTTCCTTCCTTCCTTCCTTCCTTCCTTCCTTCCTTCCTTCCTTCCTTCCTTCCTTCCTTCCTTCCTTCCTTCCTTCCTTTCTTTTTTCCAGTCCTGGGACTTGAACTCAGGGCCTGGGCACTGTTCCTGAGCTTCTTTGGCTCAAGGCTAGCACTCTACCACTGAGCCACCTTCCCAGCCCTTCCTGTGTTTCGTAGACCCCTCTCCCCTCCTTAGGGCTCACGTCTAAGGTTTGGAGTCCTAACTCGTAGATGGAAAAATGGAGGAAAGACACCTTCATGGGTCAGTCCATCACACAAGTCTCCACTAGCCCGGTGTGGGAATTTCACGAAGACAGGCATCTCAGTGACTTTTGTGGTGAGCTGGGGTGCAGAAGTTTTTACCCACGTGCATCTCCCACAGACTATAGCCCCCAGCCCCACCCATCTCCCACACCGCCATTCTCCATGCCAAAATTGAGTCCTAATTCTTTTTTAAATTTATTTTTTAAATTGAGATTAGGTGATTACATACATTTCACATATTGCACAGTCTGGTAGAACAGTGATGCTTAAAGTCACCAACACATTCTCACCTTCACAAGGCAAATTGTCATTATCATGGACTATAAAGTTTGTGAACTCTATGAGCTTTGACAATACAACTATTTCGTCCACATCAGATGATATGTACGTTTCTTTCCTGTTGCTTAGTGTGAGCTCTTCCCTCTTTCTCTTTCATTCCTCCTGTCGATTGAGTCCTATTTCTTTTCTTTTTTTTTTTTGGCAGCTGTGGGGCTTGAACTCTGGGCCTGGGCGCTGTCCCTCAGCTCTTCAGCTCAAGGCAGTGCTCTACCACTTGAGCCACAGCGCCACTTCCGGTTTTCTGGAGGTGTGGAGATATGAGTCTCATGGACTTTCCTGCCTGGGCTGGCTTTGAACTGTGATCCTCAGATCTCAGCCTCTTGAGTAGCTAGGATGACAGGCCACCAGAGCCTGGTGCTCGCAAAGGGCTCTAATCCCCGTGGAGGACATCTATTTCCTTCCCACCCTGGCACCAATCCTTCTTGTTTTCAAAGGCTCCCCACTCTCCCTGCCTCCTCTCTGCCTTTCCTGTCTCCTTTTCTTCCTAGCCTGCCAAGGACTAGATGATTCTGGCAAGTGAACGGGAAGACCACCGCTGAGCCACAGACTATGTGTTCCGGTGACTTTGTATTCCAGATCGGGGTTATGCTGACAGGGCAGGAGGAGGACACATGGCCGAAGGTCTCCAGATTCCCCCCTGCTTCTGGGCGCTTTCCT